ATTAAAAAAAAAAAAAGAATTGTGGTCCAAGGCAAGAAGTCTTGCAGGTCTAATTTGTCAAGTGGGTCTCTTCTGGAGTCTTTTTCTGCTAGGAAGATGAATGTTATCTCCCACTGAATCATTACCTTCTACTCTCTGCTCTGCCATCCGTCACATACCCCACTATCAAAAAGTTCACTCTTAAGGCTGATAGTGAAGGCTGTCCTGGAGACACACTCTCATCTTAGCTTTATGCCATCACATCACTGCGCTCATTATGGAGATAGCAAGGGCTTTCAGATGGTTGTCTGGCAAGCTGGTTAAGCATGTAAATGAAGACTACAGCCTACTTACTCAAGAAGCAATTCTGAAAGTGGGCCCCTCCAAGCTTTAACTATTGAGAAGCACTGGGACACTATGCTTTATTAGTTTTTCAGTCCTTCCATTTGACTACCCATTTAACCTAAGTTTCATTAAATAAATGTCAGCTGGGGATTTTTTTAAACATGTCATCAGTATAAGGTCTAAAATATTTCTGCAATACTTAAAAAAACAATCCTGAAGTTCATCTCCAAGTCTTCCCTCCCTCTCTTCAAACTCCACCCCTCATCCCATCCCTCTATTAAAACATTTAAATATTGTATAAGCCTGACAGAATAAAAGAATTCAATTTGGTTAACCTAAATTGTAAAAATCCTGCAGAAACTGAGGGGCAGTTTATCTTCATATGAGACTATTCAGAGGCAGTGTAGGCTCATAGTCTACTCAAGTATAGTAGTAGAACATAGCCTTTTATTCATTAATCTAAAGCAGTAATAACTTTTCTCTCTTTTAAGCTGCTCGCAAGAGTGAAATGTTGCAACACCATGTTAACTACTGATGTGGGCAACCCTAAGTATCAGTGACCTACCTGCTCTGGTTTCATGGCTCTAAGAAGAAATGTAAAGGCACAAACTGGGAATATACTAAAATATGGAGTATTTGTTTTATTTTTAGAGAAATATGTAAATCTATTCAGGATCAAAATGTTAACCACGAAATTAATATACAGAGGTTTTTCTGTTGCAAGACCCTGTGACTGCTGCCAAAATGGATGAATTCATTACATTTAAAAGTGGTGCAGGTTCCAGTCAGAAATTACTAGACATAAGCTGCAATAAAGAATACTGTTGGGTAGATTCTCTAAAGACCTCTAAAGCCCCTGCTACAAAACAATTTGGACCCATGAAGACACTTGTAAAATGATCAAAGATCAAGTCTTTTGCAAAAGTAACAGCAATTACCTCTCCTTATTCTCATAAAACAGTGAACCTGTAGATGAACCTGCTGTCAACAAGGTCATCTTCTATAAGGATGCAGTCAAGTGCAGGAAAGAGGCGAAGTTAAAAATGCAGGTAAAAACAGCCTTCCAAAAACTGCGATTTTGATGTTGCCCTAATCATTAAGACAATTTTCCAGGAGGAAAAAAAAAAGTGAAAGCAGTAGTATACAAAATTTTGCATTTTTAAAAATTCTATGGATAGCATAACTGGTATATTTAAATAAAGGCACCAAAAAGGTTGAATATTGACACTTTAACAGCAATAAAACCTGAGCTGGAGGTTGATCAGAATGACACTTGGCATTGTTCTGATGGAAGAAACATGTCTTCTTGACTGCGTAATTTATGTAACTGAAAACAAGTTAAGAAATGTCAAAGGAACTACAATTCTCTGAGCTTGACTTAGGGTTTGCTCTTGACAAACTTTTAAGATAACCAGGGTTACTTAAAGCTCTCAAACGCGAAGGCAGTGAAGCATGTAAATTGTAGATTTTTAATTAGCAAGTTGAGACTGCTTAGGTAAAATCAGGTTTAATTATTTATTCATAGATATCTAAAAGGCTAGCTCAGTTTGTCAGAACACAAACTAAAGTAAAAGCAGGGGCTGGAGTAACATAATCCATCCTAGTTTCTGGAAAACAAGTGACACATCATAACATCATTACGAAAAACAGAACTAATGGGAGTAAGAGACCTGTGGTATAATTTAATTCTCACTTTGGCTTCCAGAGTTTCCCTAAGAATTTGCTGAAAAACATCAAATTCTACTCTGTTAATAACCACCCATAAACAGAAGAAACAGTGGTGGGCCTTCATTATAAAATCTGTGTACATGATTACTTATTAACATGAGTGCATTTTAGTATATTGAATCTTGAGTCTTACAAACCAACGGTTAATATTCTACAAAACTTTACATACAATCTCATCTGTTGCAGAGTTCCAAAACTACTCGAATTAATTTCTTCTCCCTCCTAATTATTCCTTCCAGACAGTCGCAAATCTAAGCCAGTCATTTGTATTACTACATCTTTACTCATGTGTCATCCAAACGTGTTTCTCAAAATGATGCAGGAAACTATTTCAAATGAGGTCAAGATTTTATATTTTCTCAAAACTTATTTTTAGTTCTTTGTATTCCATGTTATATATAAAAAAGAAATGAAAACAGTTGAACTCATGTAATTTTCTTCAGTCCAATGTCATTCAACTTGCAAAGTTTGCATGCTAGGAAAGAACAGTATTTAAGTCCTGTACTATAAAGTATCTTCAGTTCTAAGAGATTACTTTTATTTGATTTTTAAAAGAGGACTGAAGCAGCACCCTTTACTTAACGGAGGCCAGCCACTGATTTCCTTCCTGTACCAGCTTTCCAAGACGACACTAAATGAGTTTTTGCCCTAATATTTTTGCCCCGGGTTTTACGAGGTTTCTCTTCTTTGTGCACCTTTGTATGTTGCCTAAGGTGGGAGCTCTGACTAAAGCATTTGCCACATTCACTGCACTGGTAGGGCTTCTCCCCTGTGTGGGTTCTCTGATGCTGAATAAGGTGGGAACTTTGGCTGAAGCATCGGCCACACTCATCACACTGATAGGGTTTTTCTCCAGTGTGAATTCTCTGGTGCTGAATGAGATTTGAGCTCTGTTTAAATCTTTCTCCACACTCATCACATTTATAGGGTTTCTCCCCAGTATGGATCCGACGGTGCTGAATAAGATTAGAACTCTGAAAGAAACTTTTCCCACAATCAGCACATTTATGGGATTTCTTTCCAGTATGGATCTTCTGATGTTGAAAAAGAGTTGAGCTCTGACTAAAACTCTTTTCACATTCAGTACACTTATAAGGCTTCTCATCCAAGTTTCTTCTCAATCTGCTCAAGCTGGAGTCAAATCGAACAGTCATTCCCCATTTTTGCCGCTGGCGCCCTGTTTTGAGCTGGTTCCCATAAGCTTTTCCTTGGCTGGAGCGCCTAGAAATACCTCCCTTCAGTTTTCCTAACCGCATGGTGAAGCCAAATGTATTCTTCAGATACTTTTCTTCTGAACTGATACTTTACTTCCTGCAGCTACACAGCTCAGAATTTCCTGTGTATAGAAGGAAAAAAAAATGAAAAAAAAAAAAAAAAGAATTTTAATTATTCAACTTTAGTATCTCTTCAATCCATCGAAATTGCAAATACAATTTAAAAATGTGCTCAGTACTTCTGAAAACAAAGTGAGTCCTGGGGCAAATAATACCAGCAAAATAATTCTAATAATCCTAGAATTTAAACTTAAGAAATGAGTATCACCTAGTTTTGACCAAATTTACCTTCAGGGTTTCTGTCTATTTAGATAGGACCAAAAAAAAAAAAAAAAAAGAGAGAGAGAGAGATCGTAAAGTGAAATCTAAGTTTTTATTGGTGATTATTGAATAGGTATGTAATTCTGAAGAATTAAAATATATGATCTTAATGGAAACATAAGAAATAACTCCAAATGACAAAATTTGTTTTATAAACTATGATCATGTTTTAAGATTTACTTTAAAGTTAAAATTCTCCCTTATTGGTGATCATTTAATTAAGGAGTATAAACTAGTGAGAAATGACAACTCATAACTATTCCTATTCATCCTTTTTTAGCCTTTCTACCTTCACAATTATCGCTAACACTTTAATACTGTAGCATAATTTACTTTGAGAGTAGGAATATTGTATAAGTCTCTGTGAGACTATCCAATGGATATAAGTGAGAAAAATGTGAGAGTTGCTTTGTCATTTATTTATTTATTTATAGGTTATTATTTATAGGTTCTGAAGATTCAAGAAAACCAACAAGTTTTTGAAAACTTGAAATAAAAACTCTTTCTGGAGATAGAAAACTCGCCCAGTAACTGTTACTGGGCGGCAGAATGAAATTGAGTAGGATAAAAGGTGGTAGGTAGCCCACCAAAAAAGAAAGAAAAAAGCAAGTTTACAAGTAAAAATGGGACAAAATTTAAAAATACCCAAATGATGCAAAAACTCAACACTTAAAAATAAATTTCGCTTATTTATGAAGTTCAAAACAAACAAACAAAAAAAACCCCAAAACTGCCAGAAACAAACATGCCAGAAAATCAAGTCGGTGACAAGTGGGAGAAGCCATGCCTGCAAAAATAATAAAATTACTGGAACTATTTTCCACACCTTGTATCAAGCAGCAGCATTAAAATAGTAATAATTACTCTGCACTTCTGAAAACACAAATTACATCATTGTTTTCATCGTTTCATTGCCTTTGTATAATTGAGACCACAGGGCTGACTGAGCAGAGGCCTTTATCTGGCTACTTAATAACAATATCTGCTGTAATTATGGGTAAGTTTTAAAAAAAGCAAACCGCACACAGCACAAAACTACAGCAACAGCAGGACTCCTTTCGGTAAATATTTATAGAGCATCTCATTTATAGAGCATCTGTTACAAAGAGGCATGTTAGGTACATGGTGTCGGAGTTCAAACAACAGCGATAATGGTAATGATGCACGTTTAAAAAAAAAAAAAACCACAACATTCTTTAACAGTATCGAAGTCAGATCTGGTAGGACACTCTATGTCTAACCCGAGCAAGAGTCCATCGCTGCTATCTTAGCTCATCCTCAAAACACCCCGTGCGAGCCTGTGCATTTCTCAGCTGCTGCGGGCCGGCAGGTTCCTATCTCCTGCCGCCAGCCCAGCGCCTGTCCGCTTAGACGACCCAGACCGCAGCCGGGGCCAGCGCTCCCGCCCGCCAGCCCGCTGCACAATTCCAGGGCCGGTGTAGCGGTTAAGCTTAAAGTAAACTTGCCAAGAGCTCCTAGTACTGCCAGCCCGCCCCAAGGAGCTGTGCCTCAGTTTCTCCATACAGAAAACTGGGATAGTAAAGCTGCTACTCCTCGGAGTGGTAGAAGCTCAAACGGGGTCAGGAAGCCGCTCAGAACAGCCCCGAGGGACCTCAGCGCGTGTTCAATGGGTTTAGTCCCGGACCGCGCGCCCTGCGAGGACAGGCACTAGGCCTCACCCTCGGCCCCCGAGCACCCGCGGCCCAAACTCGCGGGCGCCCCAGTTCAGGCTCTCGCACTCGCCAGCTCTCCGACGACCTCTCCTCAGCCCCGCGGACCACACCGCTCCCGGCGCCCCCGGTCGCGGCCCGTCCCGCGCGGGGCGCTCCCGGG